TGGCCGGACCCCACACTCACTCACATATCCCTCGCTGCTCCACACCTGACTCCCACCTCCCTTGGAGGCTTGTCACCTAGGCCAGTACCATGAGCTGAGTGCAGGCTGCCAGGCTGAGTGAGTGGAAGGAGCCCAGTGGGCCCTAGCAAAACTCTGGCAAACGTTTCACCAGCCACAAGTTTCTGGTGAAAAGCGACACCCCAAAGATCCCATAACAGTAAGAGACCAGAAATAAATCCTCGCATTGATGGTCAATTGGTCTTCAACAGGGTGCCAAGACAATTCACTGGAGGAAAAGCAGTCTTCAACAAATGGTGAAGAAACAATTGGATATTTATATGCAAAAGAATAAAGTTGGACCCCTACCTCACACGATATATAAAAATTAACTCAAAATTTATCTAAGAAATAAATGTGAGAGCTAAACCTATAAAATTTTTAGAAGAAAATAACTCAAAATGTATCTAAGAGATAAATGTAAGAGCTAAACCTATAAAACTTTTAGAAGAAAATGTAGGAATAAATCTTCATTACTTTGAATTAGGCAAAAATATGACATCAGAAGCAAAAAAAAAAAATAAACTGGACAGCATCAAATTTTAAAGCCTTGTGCTTAAAGGACACCACCAAGAAAATAAAAAGAACACCTCACAGAATGGGGGAAAAACTATAAATCATACATCTGAAAAGAGACTGTATCTAAAATATGCAGAATTACTACCAATCAAGTATAGGACAAAGTATCTAATTAAAAGTAGGCAAATTATCTGAATGTACATTTCTCCAGAGAAAATATATAAATGGTCAATAAACTTATGAAAAGATACTCAACATCATTTGCCATCAAGCAAATGTAACTCAAAACCAAAATGAGGTATCACTTCATACCCATTAGAATATCTATCATCAAAAAGAAAGATAATAACTAGTGTTCACAAGGATGTGCAAAAATTGAAACCCTCAAACACTGCTGCTTGGAATGTAAAACAGTGTAGTTACTTTGGAAAAGTCTGGCAGTTCCTCAAACAGTTAAACAGAGTTTCCATCTGATCTAGCAATTCCATTCCTAGTCATATACCCAAGGGAATAAAAACATGTCCACACAATACCTTGTACATGAATGCTCATAGCAGCATTATTCATAAAGCCAAGAGTGGAAACAATTCAAATGTCCACCAACTGATAAATAATATCTATAATGTATTATATCCAAACAATGTAACATTATTCTGCAATAAAAAGAAGTGAACTACTGACACAACCTACAGTATGAATGAACCTTGGAAGCATTATTCTAAGTTAGAGAAGCCAGTCAAAAAGAAACACACAGTGTGTGATTTCACTTATATGAAATAACCAAACTAGGCAAATCTACAGAAACAGAAAGTATTAGTAGTTGCCTAAGGCAAGGGAGCCTATGGGGAAATTGTGGGTGACAGCCAAAAGATAAAGAATTTCTTTTGGATTTCTCAAATTGATTGTGGTGATGGACGTACAATTCTGTGATTATACTAAAAGCTACTGAATTATAAATATAAAAAATTATCCAGGAATCTAATCATGCCCATTATATCCCAAGTATTTCAAATACTTATTTTATTTATCTTCATCATTAGTAACACAGAATCACATAAGGGAGGAACAGAAAAAGAACCCGTGTGTCTAACTTTTAAGCAAACGATCGCCACTACATGCTGGGATCTTCTGCTGTTGAATAAAGAAAAGCCCCAAATCCTTGGTCAACTTATATACCTGGTCAAATGTCCATGCCAAATTTCTACAGGGCAATATGCTCCTCTAAATACTGTTATCCTGGTAAATAATAAAAGGAAACTGAAAATCATGAAAGATTCTCACTTATTGCAAATGGGAACATTAGGCAGGGGAGGAGCGTTATGCTAATTAGCCAAATTTCTAAATATATACCATTATATATTTCTATTTTCTTGCATTCCGGGTCTCCTTAACCAGATCTTCTATGCGTGAGAAGAAACCAGGTTTTCTGTATTACCCATAGCCAATGCGTTACTAATCCACAGTCTTTCATACCTTGCCTTGATCAGACTGCACAAACACAGAACGGGGCACCATAAAGTCCAGAGGGAGAAGGGCTCTAGTATCTACCTCTTCATATTTATTTTGTTTAGCAGTCAAGATCTGAGGTTTTTTGCACTTGTCTTTCATGGTGCCTGCTTGGCCCTCTTCTAAGTGTACTTTCCTTCCTTTCATTTCTGCTCTAAAGCTTCATTTTCACTGCTGCTTCAAAATTTGCCTAGGTCTCTCCTTCTGCTTCATGCCCCTCTGATAAATTTTTCTTCTGAGGATGCAAGAATCGAGGGTGCCGTAGACCCATATGGATTTGCCGCCAGTAACGTATTTTGGTGGCATGTGACTCATACCCTCCACTGTCAGCATACTTTGGTGCCTTGTGACTCAGATAATTTCTACTGCTAATATACTTTGGTGCTGTGTGACTCAGATATGCTCCCTAGTGGTAAGAGGCTGCTATGCCTCATCTTCTTGGGCTAAAAAGGCATTCGACCACTGTACACAGTTTTCTTCTTTTATTTTTATTATTATTATTATTATTTTTTGAGATGGAGTTTCCCTCTTGTTGCCCAGGCTGGAGTGTAATGGTGTAATCTTGGCTCACTGCAACCTCAGCCTCCTGATTTCAAGGGATACTCTTCCTCAGCCTGCCAAGTAGCTGGGACTACAGGCACACACCACCACACCTGGTTAATTTTTGTATTTTTAATGAAGATGGAGTTTCACCACATTGGTCAGGCTGGTCTCAAACTCCTGACCTCAGGTAATCAGCCCTTCTTGGCCTCCCAAAGTGCTGAGATTACAGGCGTGAGCCACCACACCCAGTCTCTTCTCCCTTTCTCAAAAAAAATGAAGAAGAGGTTGTTTTTCTATTACAATGAAAAATGATCAAATGACTCTCCATTCAATCATCCTCGGTTTCTATTAGAAACCTACTAGGGATATAAAAGGAAGCAGCCTCAGATGGCAACACAGAAGATTTTTTAAAACCTTTCCTATTAAAAAAAAAAATCGAAAAGAGAAACCCAGCAAATACAGTTTCAGAACACTCAGACAAGGAGAATAAATGTGCATGCATTAAGGGATGGCCACCCACCATGCACACCATGCACTATCCTTTTTCATCCTTATAGCAACCCGGGAAAATAGATTATGATGCACATTTTACAGACAAGGAAATTGAGGTTCTAAGACATTGTAGAGCTGATGCCACAAAGCTAGAACTGGAACTCCAGCCTCCATCAGTCTGACTCTGAAGATCTACCTCCTACTTTGGGCATTTGTATAATCCTCAAGCCAAAGAGACACTCACACCCAACCCCACAAAGCCAATGGGGCAAGGTAGGGTTGTGAAGCTGAGACTTGCCTTGACACGCAATCCATGGAAAATGATAACCTACACCTTCTCCAGCATACAGAACGCCTTTGAACAAACACTTATCTCTCACAGACCTGTATATCACCTTCTTTTCTCTGGGCTGACCCAGAACAGCCAGACTATAATGCTGACAACATCTCCAAAAAATGATCAGGGTCCATCCCTACACTTTGAGACTGAGAGCAAACAACCATTAAAGACAGAACTGTTGATCCTTACAACTGCCAAAAGTCTGCATACCAAGAGCCTCTGCTCAGGCCAAATTGGTCTGTTTGCTGCTCCCACTCCCAAAATTGCATTTCTCTACATTTCTTCACTTCTGTGACTGTGCACATTGTTCCTTCTTCCCTTACCTGCTGGAATTCTGCCTGTGCTTCAAGAGCACTCTCTATGTGGTCTTCCTTAACCACTAACCTAATGCACTTAATTCAGTGAACTTAACACCTTAGGTAATTTTGAAATCAGCTTCATACTTCCTTGTAACAGCAATCTACTATTTCTTTATTATTGGCTCTTTTTTATTCTTTAGCTTTTTGTGTGGTCATGCCTTGTTTCCTGCATTGCCAAACTCCACCATATGTCCTTAGAAGATTTTGTTGCTTTGATTTCTCCACAAAACCTTGCATGGCACCTAGAAAACAGTAGGTGCTTCATAAATATTTTCAGTGGATTAATACAGAGGAAGCCAGTATTAAAATTATTTAGGTTACCTAATGATTATTAATTTGAATTCAATGATAGAGTGAACTCACACTTAAAACCCATTGACTAGGGACTTCAGTCCAAGTTTTTAACATGACATTGAGGCTTTGCAATGATCTGGCTTCTACCTACCTCTATAATATCACCCCTCACTGCCCACCCCAAACTCTCATCCTTTCCCCATACACACTTTTATGTTCTAAACACTTACCCATCCACATGTTGCTTCTTAAAATCACAGCAACCTCTTTCTGAAATATTATTCTTCCATCCCTTACTCCTTAGCATTCAGCATGTAAAATATTCACTCATGTTTTTTTTTTTTTTCTTATACAACTATCATCTTTTCCAAAGCCTTTCTTGGCTAGCACAACCCTTAGTAGAATGACTACTCTTATTTTCTGATTACAACTTTCTAGCATTGCATCTACAATACTTTATGATATTTATTTGTCCATCTTCCCTACTAGCTTATGTGATCTTTGCAATGAAAATCCTACATTATTCAACTTAATATTCCCAGTGTGAAGTATAATTCCCACAAAAACACACTGTAAATGTTTATTGAAGGTCATTAAACATAACCAATTAACTTGTTTGATGACTAAATATGATAGAATGTGATTTTATTCAAGGCCTACCAGAAGATAGGCGAGAAAGATACTCATGATTGGTCCTTGGAGAGCAAACAAAAAAGCCACTTTGCCCAAAGTAAATTCTTAAGGCAAAGTAAATTAATGAATGTGTTCAACAGAAACAAGGCCTCAGTTAGGTGAATGTTTTCATGGGGCTACAAACTCTAAATTCCAAGATATTTTGTATAACCCATTAACTCTAAGGAGATTTTCAAAAGCAGAAAGAGCTTTCTTACCTGTGCTCCAGTTCTCGAATGGACAGCATCACTCCTGAAGTGGATGGCTTCTGCTGTACAGTGGCCAAAAAGGTGAATTCACTCTTGTTCCGGAACAGCTGAATTAATTTCTCACTCACATGAGGAGCTGCATGGATCTCTCTTCCTATATCTAAGAATCAAGAGGAAGAGCAGGAGAAACAGGAGAGAAGAAGGAGAGGAGACGAGGAAAGAAAAGGATAAAGAAGAAATACAAGAGAAAGAGGAGAAAGGAGATGAGAAGGAAGAGGAGAAAAGATCCATGGTTAAAAATGTCATGTCCGAAAAATCCAGATTGCATTTTTCATTTTTCTCTCCTGTCAACAGTTTTCATTTTCAGGCAACTTTCACCACTCCCTACAGCTGCATTCATTCAATGCAAGTCCCAGAAATGCTATCTCTGTCACTGCACCCACTTGCCACCTGGACAAGTTCACAATTGGCCTGACGGTGATTTTCTGACAGGAATTTTGACAGGACACTGAGCAACTCAGTTTTCTGCAAACAGGTTCGATTGCTGTAAATAAAGTAAGAAGCAGTCGGATAAATGGGGTTCTAAACTCAGAGAATCTTTGGATAATAAGACCCAAATGCCACTCAGCATCCTCCAATTTCACTTTTTCCAGGGACTCTGGTTTCTTCTCCCCACAATGTATATAGGAAACCTGTCCTTGCCTTGTAACTAGCAGATATTTACCAGCACTAATAATGCCAGACAACTCTGCCTTTGCTTAAAGAATAAATACAAGGCATGCTCATGATCCACACGCGTGCCTGGAATTTCTCCATAAACATGCAATGGATGACTTTCCTCATGAAATATTTATTAAAATCGAGGCCAATTCAGCAGGCCTAGAGGTGTGTGATTCCAGATAATCCTGCTCCTGGACAAAAATGTTTCTTTCTCCAACATCAGCATAATGAGAGACATCCATCACTTCATGCCCGGACTCACCCTTGTAATGATAAACTGGGTGTTATCTCATTATTTTACACTACATTTTCTGGCATCAGAAAAGGGCACTAAGGAAGCAAAGTTAGAGAAGATTATTCAGAGGATGATAAATGAACATTAAAAGTGTGTTTGGTGGCCTCTCACATACTGACCACCTCCTCTGAGTATATGATAACTACTTGGTTATTTCTCCAGGACTGCAAGGGAAGTCCTTGAAAAACACAGAACTTCAAAGGCTGCACTGCCCAAGCAACATCATAGACTGGCATATGGACCTTGAAGAATCTCATCCTCAACAGTGGCTTCTAAATAAGGTATCTTTGGATTATTGACCTTGGGACTCAGTCTTCTCAACTGTAAAATGGTGGAGCAGACTAGGTGATCTCTTAAAGCCTTCCCACCTTAGCCTTCTATAATTTTTCAAATTGCTGGTTCAATTTTATAACACAGAAAAGAACAGCATAGTCTTATCCACCTGTAAATATCTAGGCTATGAATGGCAGAAAGCAATGTTTGTTCTCTACCATGGAGACACCCAACCCAGACAGACCAGTCTACCAGTATAAAACCTACCTGCACAATAGTAGCAAGGCCTTCCCTACTTAATTGTTAAGTGGCATGCTGTCAGCTTTTGTCAAGTGTTGAGGTAAGAGATAGCCACTTGAAAAATGCTTCTATACCTTCTACAAAATCCCAGCCAAAGATAATCCAGATGACATTTAAAATCTACTAAATGTGGCAGCAAATCACCCTACAAACTAGAGAGTATTAGAAAATGTTTGTTAATATTATTTTTATTATCATTATCTTTTTTTTGAGGGGGGGGGCTCTTACTATGTCACCAGGTTGAAGTGCAGTGGCATGATCTCAGTTCACTGCAGCCTCTGCCTCCCAGGCTCAAGCGATCTCCCATTTCAACCTCCTGAGTAGTTGGAACCACAGGTGTGTGCCACCATGTCCAGCTATTTTATTTTTATTTTTGGTAGAGACAGGGTCTCCCCATGTTGCCCAGGCTGGTCTTGAACTCCTGAGCTCAGGAGATCCATCCACCTTGGCCTCCCAAAGTGCTGGGATTACAAGTGTGAGCCACCCACCTATTACCATTACTTCTAAGCAAAAATCATCATAATAAACTCACCTAGAATATAATGCCAGAAAAAAAATCAACTCTTAAGATTATGTTTACTTTTTACTTTTTCCTTCTTTATTCATCAGTTAGGAATCAACTGATTGGTAGTGGCTGCCTAAAGAGTTAATTTCAGGATTCTAAAGCTTGAGCCCAAAGGAAAGAGGAACATAATTGATCAGCAATGCCTGCTGGAGGAAATGGATATGAATATCATATCAGGTATGGGTATCCTAACCTCTAACTCAATTCTCCCTGAGTGATATCATGCAGCTCCATGGCCAACAGTGTCCAACTTTATAATTACAGTCCTAACCTCTCCCTTAAGCAGTAAATTCAAATGTTCACCTTCCTACTTAACATCTCTATGTGAATATCTAATAAGCATTTCAAATTGTAATGTGCCCACAGTGAAGCTTGTTCTCTTCCCTCCGCTCTCAATTTTCTCACAGAGGTCTCAGTCTTAGTAAATAGCAACACCCCGTTCCTCAAGTCAAAAAACCAGAAATTGTCCTTGATTTTTCCCTTTTCTCCACTCTCCATGTTCAATCTAAAAACAAGTCAAGCGGGCTCCCATGTCTGGAAATTGTTCCCTTCTTCCCAACTTCACTCTTAAAACTCTTGTCCGAGCCACAATCATTGCTCCCTAGGATGCTTCCAATGGTTTCCTAACTAGTCTTCCTGCTTTCATATTGCCTTCTTTTCCCCATTCTTCACACAGCAGTTAACGTCCTCTTTTTTTTTTTTGTTTGTTTTTTTTTTTTCCC